AGACTTTAAGGTTTAGATAGGACTCTTAGAGGTGGGCGGGGCTATTGGTGAGCCAGGTAATCAGTGAACGGTGGGCGTGCCAAGCGTGGTGCAGACGGGTGGGGGAAAGGAGCTGGAACTGGTTCTAAACGGCACGGTAGATTTGTGGAACCTCTTCTGTAGAAGAAGTTAGAACTGGCAGGAACCCACCCCTGATTCAGTTTCACACTTATGGCTTTTATTTTCCTCCTAACTACTTCCCGCTATTGGAATGCTCAAATGCCTGCTTACTGCCTTGCACATACCAAAAGCAACATGATTATGCTGTAGTCTGAGGCTGGGAGGAGAATTTTAACAAAGATCTGTAATAGACTAGAATTCTCACACAGACATGAATTATTTCCCCTGTTCTTAAATAAATTAGGTGTGGGATATATTAGTATTTTCAGGCAAATTTTCTTATGGAGAATTTGTTGAATGCTCATTCATTCATTCCATTTATTGGCCGTCTATCCTACCGTAGGGTAACTCTGGTTGGCTTTACAGTTACATATACAGGTAAAACATAACATAAAAAGTTAAAATCAGATATTAAACGAAGAACACATGGGGAGGGCGGGGGTGGGAGGGAGGTGGTATCTGTTACTACTCAATCAACCACTTCCATTGCGCTGTTCCCCCATTGGGATCCCAAGCCAACTGGCAGAGCCACATCTTAGGGCTCTTATGAAATGATGGGGTTGGAGCCAACCTCACAAGACGGGGACAAGATGTTCCAGAGGGGAGGAGCAACAGCAGAGAAGGTCCTTCTCCTGGATCCTGCCAGCCAAAATAATTGGGCTGCCTCCTCTGCCACCACGAATAGCACAAGCTGGACATATGCCATCTCAATCCCCTCCCAGGGCAAGTACAGGTAGCCCTTGACTTACAACTATAATTGAGATCAAAAATTCTGTTCCTAAGTGAGACAGTTATGAGAGTTTTGCCCCATTTTATGACCTTCCTTGCCACAGTTACTAAGTGAATCACTACAGTTGTGAAGTTAATAACTTGGTTGTTAAGTGAATCTGGCTTCCCCATTGACTTTGCTTGTCAAAAGATCTCAAAAGATGATCACATGTCATAAATATGAGCCAGTCATTAAGTGTCCAAATTTTGATCATATGACCTTGGGGCTGCTGCAATGTTTGTAAGTACAAAAAACGGCTGTAAGTCACTTTTTTCAATGCAGTTGTAACTATGAACAATCACTAACCATAAGTTGTAAGTGGAGGACTACCTATACTATCCTTCAGGGATTCTTATGGGAAAATGTAAAATATGCACAGGGTCGAAAGACACCACATTAATTGCTTATAAGTATATATGTAGCTCTTGGATTACCAGTGGGAGAGATTAAGCAGATGAAATACAATACTTAAAAAGTATAGGTGTGCTTCCTCAGTTGCTATAATGTATGGATTTCCAACATTGCTTGTGGAGTATAAAATATTAGAAATATTTTGATATTAAAATTAAATTTCTCATACTTTTTTATTTGAGGAAAAAGTACTTTGATGAGATACTTTGCTGTCATATTTTGCTTTATTGAAGTTTTAAACTATATTTCCCCAAAATATAATCATATCTTGACTTATTTATGTTTTTATCCGTTTCTAGTAAGTTAAATGGTAGCGTCATTGGAACCTTTGGCGTATTTTTTCTAAATACTTTCGTTGACAGTTAATACCTGGAAAATAGATTACATATTATTAATTGTAATATAAATGAGTACTCACAGTATAATGGAAAACAATTTTGTTTTTTACGGACATAGTTACAGCAAAACAAATGCTAAAAAATAAAATAATAGTAACAATAATTTAAATCACAATTGTGTTAATTTAGAGCAACTATTTGGAGTTTAGTTAATATGTCAGGTTACTTTCATGTGTCAGATATTAAAGCTTTTGAATTATTTGAAATGGATTATGTATTTATTGGATTATATAAGGAAAGGTGCTTCATTTTGTTAAACTCTAATTCATCCAATTTATTATTTCATTTATTTGCCTTTTTTCTATTTACATTTATATATTTTTGTATGTAAAACATGTTCATGATAAAATTGATCTCTGTATATTTTACGTTTTAGGAGATTATTTTAAGAAATTCAAATTCTGAAACAAAAAAAAAATTATCAGAAAATCTGATCCCAGAACCTGAATAAAGTGGAACAGTATCGAATCACATATGCCTATTAATACATAATACAGTAAATATGAGAACTGTGTGTTGATATCAATCCACCCAGATTTTGACATTTAATTATTGCAAATATATATTATTTATCATCTGTATTGTTTTCTTTTTTTGCAGTCTGCTGCTGAGCAAGCGAAAGCTAGATTACAATTGGTCCTTGAAGCTGCTGGTAAGTAAGGCAATAAAAATATTAATTTAAAAAATAAAGTAAGATAGGTTAATGTTTACTTAACCTTACACATTACATATGTTTTTTATTGTTACATAGTTAATAAGTCAGCCCTAGTATATTATATGATTAATTACTGTATTTACAGTATCTAGAAAGGTATAAGAATTCATTTTAAAAAAAGACAGTGCCAAAATATCCTAAAATTAGTACAAGATAAAAATCTTTGTCAAATCCACAATCATTACCTCCCATAGACCCATTAGATCCCACAGAGTAGGCCTCCTCCGAATTCCATCTACCGGCCAGTGCCGGCTGTCGACCACCTGGAGGAGGGCCTTCTCTGTTGCTGCTCCGGCCCTCTGGAACAATCTCCCTGTGGAGATTCGGACCCTCGCCACCCTTCAGGCCTTCCGTATAGCCATTAAGACCTGACTGTCCCAGCAGGCCTGGGGGTGTTGAGTTCCACCCCTATTCGAATTGGCTGTGCTTGTGTTTTTTAAATTGTTTGTATTGTCCTATTTTGTTTTTGTCTTACTTTTCTGTATTGTTCTCCCCTCCCCTTGGCTTTTGTTCAGCCGCCCTGAGTCCCTTTAGGAACAGGGCGGCATACAAATCGAATAAATCCAATCCAAATCCAATACATTATTTGTTTTATTGAATTCTAATTTTATTCTAAAGTTCTGTTTGCTTCATCCAGACATTTTTTGTTTTAATTTTAGATTCATTTTTAACTTGAATCTCATGATGAAATCATGGTTTAAGATATCCTGTTTTTCAGAATATTACAGATTTCATGAGTTTTATCCATTAATATTGATTCACAGTTTTTAAAGATTATTTCAGATTCTTTCAAAACTTATTAATGCTTCTTTAAAAAAAACACCAAACCCTTAAACTAGAGTTTTGAGTTTTATATTCTGGAATAAAATATGTGATTAGAAAATAAGTGTTATTCATAAAATTTTAAATAATATTCTTTTCTTTGGCTTCATGTTAACAAACATCTTCTAGGCAATTTTCAGGAAAAACATGAAGCTTATGTACTTTTAAAATATCCTATACGAAATGAAAATTATTCAAGCTGTTCCTTTCAGTGTAAATGGAGGTAGATTTTCACCTGATAACCAAATTATCTTAAAGAAAGAGGCAGGGGAGCTTTTGAGGGAGATTTATTGAAATATTGAAAAGGAAGATGTAGGTTTTAGATTCATCCTAATAATTAAGAGTAATGATCAATACATAGTGGTTTGTAAAGCTTTGGGAGTTAACACTTTGATCTTTTCACTTCCATGTTTTCACATTTATTCTATATGTCCTTTTTTAACGATATCAAACTACTGTAATATTTATTTATATTTTTATTTATGAAGTATATTTGTAATAAAGTATTCATGTAGAAGGGTGCTAGAAGATCATATTTTCATTAATGATAAAAATTGAACTTGTGTCTCTGATGTATATAAATATATATGAAACTTTCTCCCTTTTGGTATACAATACAGTTATTGAGCACTCTTAAATATTACTGACTTTATTAATTATTATTAGCACTTTGGAGATATCAGCAAAACATTTGAATCCCAAAGAATGTATTAATAGTAATGTAATAATTAATAGTGATACATTTTAAAATATATTTTAAGAGTATATTTTAAAGCATATTTTAAAGTATTTAAAGTATTATGTATATAAACAATATTAGTATTAGTAATTAGTATTAATATTAGTATTTCTCTTTATATTGTATTCAAAAGGACTTTTGAAATATATTTATATACCCATTATATATTTCATTTTTTCCTTCAAAAAGTCTTATATATAAATTATATTACATGATGTTTGTACAGATTACATCATTCTTAACATTTTAAATGTTTTACATAGTTTTCATTTTATTTACAGATTATATCTTTCTTTATACAGTTAGAGACACTAACCAAATAATCTGAGAAAGAAATAATTTTATATCCTTAAGAAGTCCCACTTTATCACTAATCATGATGTATTTGGGTGACTTTATTTACATTTTTTCACTAGAATAAATAAGTATCGCATTATTTTAATGCAGTTTAACAATATCACAGCAATGTTCTGTCTTTGAGCAGATGTTAAGCAGGCAGTTCCTGAATGTTAATTCTGAGAGGGTGGTATGTTTAAGCCTATCTAAAGTATGTTGCATGTGGGCTTTCCAGGCTTAGTTACAATGCTCTCTCTCTTGGGAGAATTTTAAAGCTAAACCTCTTTCTTTTTGTCACTCTATATGGACTCTCTTAAGTCAGTATAAAGCAGATCATCCCTAGGCTAAAGCTCTTCAGCTTTTGTTATTGGGCTCTGTAGGCCTGTAATTAGGCCTCCTGGTAGGCCTTGCAGCCCAGTTAATGGTCATATGGAGTTTCTGTGAGGCAGACTGGCTTTGTATAAATCCTTCGTTGGAATATGTTTATGGGTCACTTCATACCAGGACCGTGTTTTGTCCTTGTGCCCTATAGGCTGACAAGGAACTGGTTCCCTTGACCATGGACAGCTCCGTTTGCTGCTCATAGTCTACTCAACTAATCCCCAGTGTAAACAGAGGATTTAGCGTAGCTTCTGTCACTTACAGTTGCCAAACCACTTGGGTGTCTGTGATTTCTTTTCCAGCATTAATTATTGAATGATGGAGAACAGTGAAAGGTTTCATGGTTGTTTGTACATTAAATATATCCTTCTTGTCTCAAATACTGACAAGACAGTATTCACAATATTAAATACTTTATCCCAGTAAAAATGCTGCTAGTTTGAAACATATTTGAGTAATCCATATTTTAACTGAATTTTTAAAATGTATATTTTACAAACATATTTTATGTGAACATTTCCAAATAATTAGTTTGTGCTAATCATATAAAAATGTTGCCCAAAATTTTCTATGCTGTAAAGATTCTTTTCAACTTATAAGAACAATTGCAGAAGTTGATTGATGTGTGCTTTCAAAGTCGTGAGTTGAAATGACTGACTGATCTGCATGTGGAATCTGCATTTCAAACCTGTTTCTAAAAAAGATGCAAAATACTATATTTTAAAGACAGAATTGTTGATGGCTTAAAGCAGACTTCAGAATTGTTGTTAATATGACATTAGCGATATGTGATAAAAACTGATGGAAATATATTTATGTTTTATATATAATGGAGTTGTTTGACAGCTTATATAAATATTTAGCTGTTTAACTCATTATGTTCTGATTATATAGCCAACTTTTTCACTTAGCTGTGAATCACAATTATTTTTTTAAAAATTCTCTGTAAATGAATTGGATAGTAAAAAACAAATATATTAACATTAGATGTTGCAAATGCAGAACATTTTTATATGATATTCTTCAACATTTTATTAGAGTGTGATAAATCTGTATTTGCTCAGTCTTATATGATAAGTGATATACAGTCTGTGGGGCTAAGATGTTTCATGACAGATGTGGCTGAGGAGACCACATACATAGAATATATGATTTTAGTCTGGTGGAACTAATAGGATCATTCATTACTTTACAGATCTTTCCTTTTTTTGTTTCTTTAATGAAAATTGTTTAGTTAAATAGGGCAGACTTTTAGCTCAGTGCTTAGTAACGGTGCAAAGCCAGTTTTAAGGCCAGCTGGGAAGAAATAAAATATTACAAATGTCCATTTAAATATTATATATCAGAAATGATTAATTTAAAAAAGAATAGTATGAGATTGCTTATATTTCTACAATATTGTTTTTAATATAAGCTCTATTTATATTCATAGGGCTACCTCTTATGCTTTCTTTGGAAGTAAAATTACCACAAATGGAGCGTGTGCAATATTCTTATGCACCTCTTTCAATAATTTACATTATAAAAATAATATAGCAATATAAAATGAATATCAATAATATTGATAATGTTCTACTAAGTCATTGGTTTATATTTAAAAGTTTGTATATGAATTGAGGGATGCGGTGGCTCTGGCTAAGACGCTGAGCTTGTTGATCAGAAAAGTCGGAAGTTAGGTGGTTCAAATCTCTAGCACCGCATAACGGAGTGATCTCCCATTACTTGTCCCAGCTTCTGCCAACCTAGCAGCTCAAAAGCATGTAAGTAGAAAAATAGGGACCACTTTGGTGGGAAGGTAACAGTGTTACATGTGCCTTTGGCATTTAGTCATGCTGGCCACATGACTGCGGAGACATCTTCAGACAGTCATGTGGCTCTTCGGCTTTGAAACGGAGATGAGCATCCCCCCGTAGAATTGGGAACGACTAGCACATATGTGCGAGGGGAACATTTACCTATATGTATTGAGGTTTTAAAATCTTCCCTCTAATTTCCAGTGGGATTTTTTAGTAATACTAAAAATTGCTGGAACAAGAAATTGGAAATACAGTTTGGATGTCTTAGAAGAGAATGTAATAGATCAGAGTTGAACTGTGACATTCTTGATACTCCCTTAACTTGCTTGTTTGCTTGCATATATTTCATTACCCAACTAAGGAACATCATTTGTGTGACTTTGGAGTTTGTTTCATGTTATATATAGTAGTGGGGATCATGAAATGTGAAAAACATTTTTATCTCCCCTGTCTCCCTTTTGAGACATAATGGCTTCCCAAAAATAAATATTTTGCTTACTTGGGTTGTAGCTG